GTTCGAGGACAACGATTTCAGATATTGATGAAGATGGTGATGAGCGCCAAGATCAGAATGCTGAATCTAATTCAGCGACATTAATGGAGGAGGATGAAGTTGTTGCAGCTGAAGATGGAGATGAAGGCTTTCGTGTCAATGATGATTTGCTTGATTAGATGAATAGATGTAGATGGCTATTGCAAGTTGCCTACTTTTGTTGGACTATTGAATGTCAATGTTTGTAACTTTATGTTGAACACTTTAGCTTATCTGTACTGAACCAGTTAAGACTTTGGTTATGTAATATGCTGGCTGTGATGCTGCTATGGTTAAGTGTGTCAAGAACTCTAGATCAAGACTGCATTAGTGTTCCTGCTTGCTAATTACAGTTTCCTTTGCTATTCCAGGCTCCCAGCAGCAAGGCAGCAAACACATGGAGTTTGGGAAAGGAATATGGACCTTTGGACAGTGTAGAAAAGAGAAGAAAACAACTCCCACAAGTAAGGCACTAATGCAGTCTTGATGCTTCCTTTATTGGCTATAATATAGTATATATAGAGGTATATATATAAAGAGGATATGTCCTAAAATACCTGGACGACCAGATGGACGACCAGGCTCGACCAGCCCGATTAATCTAGCTGGTCGACGATTAATCACGATTAATCGTCTGGTCGGTCCCTGGTCGACCAGGTTCGACCAGCCGACTTGAAAACATTGATGACAATATCATCGACGTACACAACCAATAAAATGATCCCAAGACTTGATCGCCTATAGAATACCGAGTGATCGGATTTACGTCTCACCAACCCATATTTCAAAACAATCTGGCTAAATGTGTCGAACCAAGCTCGGGGACTTTGCTTTAACCCATATAAAGACTTACGAAGACGACATACCTTCCCATACTCCCGCTGAGAAACAAAACCAGGTGGTTGCTCCATATAAACCTCTTCCTGAAGAAAGCCATGGAGAAACGCATTCTTCATGTCAAGTTGGTGCAGAGGCCAGTCGGAAGAGGCAGCAAGAGAGATGAGCAACCGGACAGAGGTAAGTTTAGCCACAGGAGAGAAAGTCTCAGAGTAATCGGTGCCATAAGTCTGAGCATAACCTTTAGCTACAAGCCGAGCTTTAAGACATGCCAAAGAGCCATCAGGATTAACTTTAACAGTAAAGACCCACTTACATCCAATTGCCTTTTTGCCAACAGGTAAGTCCACTAAAGACCATGTGTCATTATGATCAAGGGCATTCATTTCCTCAATCATAGCAGCACGCCATCCAGGATGGGCCAAAGCCGTGCCAACAGATGTAGGAATAGAAATAGTCTAGCTGGGCAATAAAAGAACTGGAAGAAGCAACAGACAGGTTGTCATAAGACACAACAGAAGCAATAGGGTAAGTACAAGATCTTTTACCTTTTCGAAGCGCAACTGGAAGGTCATTAGGGTTATTTGGTTCGGGGACAGGGTCTTCCACCGGAGCAGCAGGCAAAGGGCGTGAATCAGAATCTATGATGACCTCGCGATGTGATTGAGAGCGTCGAGTATATGTCTGTGTAATGGGTGGCCGAGTTCTCTGAGGCGGAGGGGAAGGAGGCCTAGTGAGAGTAACAGAATATACCAAGAAGTCGTCTTCCTCTGGAGGTGGAAGCTCTCGGGTAGGAAAAAATGGAAGGTGTTCATTAAAACTAACATCCCTCGACACGACATACCGACCAAGGACAGGAGAGAAACACCGATACCCTTTCTGCACCCTGGAATACCCAAGAAAAATACATTTGAGAGACTTAGGGTCTAACTTAGTGGTATGAGGTCGTGTATCCCGGACAACACAAGTGCACCCAAAAATTTTAGGCGGTATAGGAAAAATAGGTTTATCTTGGAAAAGAACTGAAAAGGGAATTGAATTATCCAATACAACCGAGGGCATTCGATTGATTAAAAAACAAGTAGTGGACACAACATCAACCCAAAAAGTTTTAGGAACATGCATGTGAAAGAGTAATGCTCGAGCAACTTCGAGGAGGTGCCGATTTTTACGTTCAGCAATCCCATTTTGAGCTGGCGTATCAACACACGACGTTTCATGCAAAATCCCATTTTCAAGCATATAAGACTGAAAACTGAAAAGGTGCAGACAAAAACTCTTTCGCATTATCACTTCGAAGTGTTTGAATGGTAGCAAGAAATTGAGTTTTAATTTCGGCACTAAAGGACAAAAAATGTTGAAAAACCTCATAACGACTTTTCATAAAGTATATCCAAGTGACACGAGAAAAATCAATAAAAGTAACAAAATATCTAAAACCAGATTTTGATGACGAGAACAAGGACCCCCATACATCAGAATGAACCAACCTAAATGGGGTCGCAGCCCTCGTGTTTATTCTACGCGATAAAGAACTACAACAATGTTTAGCAAACTGACAAGACTCACAAAATAAGGATGACAACTTTGAAAACTGAGGATCTAATCTTTTCAAACTTTGGAGGGAAGGATGGCCAAGACGACAATCCGTATCTAGTGCGGAGGATGAGGGGGTGCAAACAAGTGACTTAGATGTGGGAGAGTCAAAAACATAGAGGCCATCAGATTCACGTCCTTTACCAAGGATCTACTTCGTTGAAAGATCCTGCACAATAAAATGGTTTCGAAAGAATGAGACGCTACAATTCAATGATTTTGTAAGTTTGCTAACAGAGAGTAGGTTAAAAGCAAAGTTTGGCAAGCTTAGTACAGAATGTAACGAGATAGAAGGAGTAAGACTAACTGAACCAGAACCAAGGACACGAGTAGTAGACCCATCTGCAATAGTGACATGAGAAGAAGGTGTATGGGGGTCAAGGGTGGAAAAAAGGTTTGGGTTACTCATATGATCTGATGCACCTGAATCAATGACCCCATCTGGTGCCTTTAGATATGAGGCATGTACCGGAATTACCTGTGTCAACAAAGACAGCAGCGGATGAAGAAGGTTTCTCTGTTGCAGTAAGTCGAGAATACTCCTCAGCAGAAATAGTGACCATGTCAGACGATGATGCAACATGAGCAAAGGGGCCCTTTTGATTCTTCTTCTCTAACTGAGGACATGAATACTTAGTGTCCCCAAATTCATGACAATAATAACACTCCACTTCGTCGGATTCGGGATTACGAGAGCCACGATTTGGCGGACCTCCTCGAGTACCACCTCGAGAGCCCCCTCGAGAGCCTCGTCGAGATCCGCCATGAAAACTACCTTGGGAGCCTCCACGACTGACCATGGCACTATGTTGAGAGACATGAGTGCCGAGAGCGGGAGACTGCATTTCCTCAGTACGAAGAAATCGGGAAAACGTCTCTTGGAGAGAAGGAATGGCTGATTCGGAGAGAAGTTGATTCTTGAAAGCATCAAATTCTGGACGTAACCCAGTCAAGAAGCTCATAACAACAATTTGTTCTCGTTGCTTCTGCATTGCTTTGATATCGCTGGTTAATGGAAGGAGAGAGTTTAGTTCCTCATAAACCTTGTTAAACTCCATGACATATGCCATAGCGTTTTTATCCTGTTGCTCCCCTCTATGAAACGATTTGCAAACTGAATAAATACGAGAGATATTGGTACGTCCAGAGTATAAGAACGTCAGATAATCAATCAATTCTTTGACAAATTCACAATGATTGACCAAAGAGAGTATATCGGGCTCGATGGAGTTTCGAATTTAAACGAGCAATTTTGCATCATCACGTAACAATGCCCGACGAGTATCATCTTTGACATCATCAGAGGGAGGATCCGAATCCAAGTGATCGTCCTTGTCAATACTACGGAGGTGGACGATAATAGATTTGCTCCAACCAAGGAAATTATAACCATTTAATTTCACATCGGTGATTTTGTTCATAATAGGGACGATTTCAGAGACACTTTATTCGCAGCCATAGAATGAGATTTTGCCCGAGCAAAGGAATCGAGAACAAAGCGCTGAAATTTAAAAAAAAAAATTCAACCTGCACACCAAGAGTCACCGAAACCTGAAACTGAGAACACCAACGGGAAGCCTGAGGAATTCCGAGCAGATGGACGTTTGCCGGAAAATTTTCCGGCCAGACATGCGCCGGCGCGTGACACAGACGGCAGATGGTCGCGACGGCGCGTGTACCTCACACGCGCTGAATCTGGCGGCGACAATTCACCGGACGGCCGGTCCGGCGAAGACGAATCCAATGGTACAGGAGGTGAGACCCGAAACTCACCCGAAGTGTGTCAACTTTGAACACCAAAGAATTTGACTAGTGAAATTCAAAAAACCCTAACTCTTATTTTGGCTCTGATGCCATGTAATGCTATCAAGCTTGAATTGATATCTTACTCAATGAGGATTACAACATATATATATACAAGCTAAAGGAGATGTAAGAAAGGAAAGAAATCAAAAACACCTAATCTAAGGGATTCACCATAGGTGATACAATCTAATCTATACCATATTTACGACAACACTTCTAAACTGAGAAGACGAAAAGAGAAACATGCAAAGTTTGGATGGCAAATTGCAATAACATATTAGTAACAATTGATAGAATCAACAGATATCCTATCCTGATATCCTATCCTGACATTGTTGCTATTCTGGATCAAAAATTGTAAACATGCTTTGCATGGTAATTTAACATAATATTTTGGTTTACAATGTAGAAAAACTAGATTATCATCAGCATGCAAATCCACAACCACAATTCTATGTCTCATACTGTTGAAGCTAACTTTGCCAGCATCTAAAACAACAGCTCCACTAGATGTTAATACATGCAAATGTTGTGCATGACTTGCAATGTATACTGTCACTATTAGACATGAAAACAGTATCACAAGAAAAATGACATTAAAAGTTCAAAAGTTGATTCAAAACCACATCCATTCTCATTTCTTTTGATCTCACATCACCCAGGCACTATGCACATATATACGTAACTAAAACGAAAGTGGATGGGATTTGAAATAGTAGAAAGAACTTACAGAGCAATCCTACCTTATTAATAAGATTTTTTTCCTTAAACTTGAGTGATTCAGCCTCTTCTTTGGACTGGCATGCTTTAATTTTTCCTTTTACAACCTCTAGCTGTAGAAGTAAATAATCAATATGACTATCTCATTTAGTTAGAACATTTCAGAAACCAGAATACATTCGAGAAGTACAATACAGGAATAAGCAGCTATGAAATGCTTGTAATAATAAAAGAAAGAAAGGTTGGTTAAATAACCATTTAATAGGCATCTACGAGTTAGAAAATGCATCTAATAAATTGTGATTGCAGTTTAAATAAAAACATGCATCTAATATAATGTCTTCTGATTGTCACAAATGCTCATCAGAAGAACCAATAAACTCAAGAATTCATATCACCTCGCGAAACAGTGCATTAATTTGTCTCATGTCCTCGTCCTTTAACTCCAAGAAAACCTGCAAGAAAGAGTGAAACAGAGCATACAGGAGGTTAACTCCAAAATAGTCAAGAAGCTGAAAAAAAAAAGAAAAAAAAAAAAAGTTGACTGGGGTACAGTTGGTTAGTGATTAAGGAGTGGAGTCAGGGAAAAGTTGTGGAAAATGTGATTAGAGGAAGCTAAAGGAGAAATACATCATGAAGCATAAAAGTAGTATTCATTGGTATTTCTGGAAGTGCTTCCGCTGAATGCTAACCAAACAAAGCATATTGTATTTAAATAAAAGAGCTAGAGAAGGAGTTATTCCTGCAAAACTTGGCGACAGAAAAATAAAGGTTTTGGCACATGTTTGGATTGGAAATTGATGACAGACGTCAAGCACAGATTATTCTACTCTGATGTGTGATGGGTAATATAGTGCATCATGCAATATAAAACAATCAATAGTTGCAAGCAGTAGGAGTGAAAGCCAAGCGTAAAATATTAGCATAATAACATCCACATTCTGATAGATCCTGACAGAAATATAACAATCACCAAGGCCCATAAGCTAGCCGACCATGATCGAACAAAGAGATGGAGGTAGACACACTGTCACCAGGGAAGTTGGATGGAAGTATTATCAGAGCTAAATATGTTCACGTCTCAACAACTCACTGACATACGAGTTGAATATTTGATATCTTCATGAACAAGCTTAGAATGATCAACATTTATGGTGAAACCAGAAGGGCCTTGTTTGGAAACACTTCTCAAATGGACTTTTGGATGCAAAATTCCATTTGAATAAATAATTTATGTTTGGTGCTAAATTAAGAATAGACTTATGGATAACTTGTTCCAAAAGGGCCATTCTATAGAAGTAAATGATGAACACTTCTGGAAAAGTCCATTTTGCATAAGCCCGTTTACTAAATGGACTTTTACAACAGTGGTACCAAACATGCACTAGATTAAGCAAGCATCTCATTGATGACACTGTATACATTTTGCGTGATCCTTGGGAGTGTGTTTGTGGAATTTATTTTATGTACTGGAGCTTTAGAATTGAATTATCTTCACTGAATCCTCAACTGTGTTTAAGTACAAAATCGTGGTGATTATTGATTAGGAAAGACACAAGTGAATGTCTCTGTGGCAATAAACAATCACTCACTTGCTGCCTACGTTTCACTGGAAGCTCGGAAAGAACGTCTTTCTTGAGCCTACGAATCATGAGTGTAGCTTTGATCAAATTATGCAGCTCTTCGTGATTACTTGCACCTTGATAGAGTCCAAATATTCCCTGAAAAAATCATGTTACAAAGATTATAAAGGAACTCAGCTTACACATAAATTAAACAAATACTAAAATCTTAAAATGAAAAAATCAAAAGATATGCCAGATTCGACTTACACCCTTGCAATAACGGTTGCCATAGTCATGAACATTACTATACACATTAGGATACAATGCTTCCAACTGCAAGCAAACACAAACTATCATATTGAAGCATAAGCACAAACTTTATTTTAAAGAAAAGAAAAAAAAACAAAAAAAAAGTAAGTTCAAAGTATACCTGTTTGAATAGTTCGATGGGACGTGACAAAGCTGGAGTTCCACTCAGCAAGATTGTGTACTGAGCTTTCTATAGATCATCAGCATGCATAACAAGAAGAAAAAGAAAATAAAGAAAAAAAAAGACATGAAAATTGAGTAATTCATTATTTTATAAAAGCAATAGAGTCATAATGCATGTGGATCGGAATGGGATAGAATTACAAGGAGAAAGAAGCACAGACAAAAATTTAACGTTCAAACAACAGATATAGCTCTCTAATCTCTACTATTTCAACTTCGCCTTGTGTCATTATTATCCTATAAGAGATTAGTGCCTGTGATCCCACCTTAAGCATTTAGGCCTCATTTGGGAAAAGTGATGGGATTAAACCCCTGATGAGGCCCATCAGGTATAGGTGATTAGTACTGTACATGTGGTTTGATTTCCCAATTCCCATCTAATTTTCATTGGCAGAAAATTACAAAATATCATTCCCCTTTTTCGCCTTTATCACATCTACAGAAATTTGGGGCTTTCATTTGCTAATTTAAAATTTCTCTGACAAAGGACTTTCTCTGTGAAAATATTCGCGACAAAAACCGATTAGAGTTGGCCTTTAAAATCGCAATGCCGAGACTGCAAATGTAAAGAAGGAAAAGTAAGATAAAGTCATAAAGCAGTTTTTTTCTTTTCTTTCCTTTTTTTGTGACTTCCCAGATTGAACTCGTCTTCATAAATGTCAAACATAGAAATCTCACCTTGCCTCAGCAAGCCGTTGGCTAAGGTTTGTGCAGAATAACAATTTCCTTTAACACAGTAAGTGTTAGAAGTTATGTCTGTCCCACATCGATTAGTTACTGTATTGTTATTATGTACAAGTTTGAGTTGGGCACACTCTCCATTAGAGCTAACTTATGGGGATGAGTTTTCTCCAAGCCCGTTTACTATGGTATCAAAGCACCCAGGTTTTGTTTGTTTGGAGGCGATGTTGGGTTTGGACCCAGCCCATTTGGTTTGGCATGCATAAAGGGCGGCTGTTAGAAGTTATGTTTGTCCCACATCATATAGTTAATGGGTTGTTATTATGAATAAGTGTGGGTTAGGCACCCTATCCCTTTGAGTTAGCTTTTGGGGATGAGATCTACACAAGCCCTTGGTTCTCTTGGGTTTCATCTCTAGCCTACCCCAACTTGCTTGGGACTAAAAGGCTATGTTGTTGTTGTTGCACCTGCTAGTTCCAGTACGTCGACATAGAGCAGAAGGCGTTTTTAGGGGCGAGATGGAGATTTCTACAAAGGTGAGAAGACGTGAGTACTGAGTAGGAACAACACCTCCCGTGGATTGAATCCAATTTCCTCAATTTGAAGGATTTTTTACCGGACCACAAATAACAGCGGGCTCATTTCAAAAATTACGAAAGCACATATTAGGTGGGACTACACGCCTTTTCCTCACAATTCCCACCCTTTCCCAAATTCCCAAATGTGCCCTTAGGCCATAGGCAAGGATGGACTAAACAAATTAACAGTTGCAACATTCCTGCTGCATAACACTGTCCAGTCTATCAAGGATAAGAATATTCATGTATGACGGGAAAATCACCTGGAGTATAGGAAGGGACGCATTTGTCCGTTTTGCTTGGCCATTCTTCAAGAAATGAGATTCGTCTGCGATCACAACCTGAATGGACATATCATGATTGGTTAAAAGTTGTAACTAATCAACTACAATGGAAGCATAGACAGTATTTCTGAGCTAGAACTCACATAATTGTATCACTAGTATCATGGTCATTGGAAAAGGTTGCCTTAAAGGATTAGTAATAAATTATGCACTTGTGTGTGATTACCCAACTAGGCCATATGCAGCGTACAATTGAAGAGAACTAGGATTTTCATTCATATAATTACAAGACAGCAGTTTGTATCTGGAATTTACACTGGCAAAACCAAGTGATGACCAATATATATATACATACCATTTACCCTGAATTACTTAATGTAATTCCTTTACATAAAATCTCGAAACAGGACAGATCCTCTCACTAAAACTAATCACTACAACTCTCAAGCACTTCTTTCAGGCATCCAATCCTCAGAATCGTCTAACTTATCTAACCTTAAAAGATAAATTGGGACAGAATAAAGGAATGAATAAAATGCAAAATAAAATCTGAAACAGAAAATCACACTCAACCTGCAGCATGTGATGTTCACACTTTTGTGTGATAAACACGAATACAAGCTTCTAAGGGGTAAGAAAACATAGTCACCGTGTTATATATTCGCTCAAGAAAAAATTACATGACAATGAACTAAAGAAGAAATAATCTAACTCCTCCTTTAATGTCCAAAATTCACTAGCAAATATGCAGCAATAGCAGCAACAAAAGTCTAATATTAAGAATTACAACAATGCAATGTCTCTAATTTGAAATGATGCAACATGAATAAGCACCAGTATAATACAACATAACACTGTGTTTCAGACTATTACCTTAAAATTTGAAGCCAAAAGTGTGTCTTGTAACTTTGGTACAATATCATAGGATATGATGTTAAAAAGTCCATCAAGATTCACCGGTCTTTTAATGTTTGATGGAACTATATTGAAACCGCTTCTATTTGAACCACACCACTGAGACAAAACCACCTGATCATGACTCCTAGTTAGGCAAACTATCTCAACAAACAAATGAATATACTTCTGCACGTGTCTACTCCAAATGGGTTACAGAACAACTGCCACATTCAAGTATATAATCTATAGAGGACATAATTCAGATGAAATTTGACAAGAAAAATATGATCATTAAATCAATAGAAAATATTTTGTTAGATAACTTGTTGATATTCTAGAAATAAGAAAATGCAGTGTCATTTATAACATAGCAAGTGCAACCTGTAATTTAAATCAACTTTATTAGGTGTTAAAATATGCATCAAAAAGCAGATTCAACCAAAAATAAAAATAAAAAAATAATACGTATACAATTTCCACCTGTTAGCTAATTCATTCCCGAAACTTAAGTAACTTATTATGCTTAGTAACAGGCATCCAGTCTTTTTTCTTTTTTTTAGCAGTAAGAACAGTACGTGTACTCAATTTCTGGAATTGATTGTGTCATTTCTTCTTATAGGCAAACATAAATACTATTATATACTATTATACATGTATATATACATATATATACATATTGCCGTACTATTCATATTCTTAAAATTAACGAAGAAATCTTCCCAAATTAAATTTACAATAATTGAGTCATTTGGTCAAAAAGCAAATATAAATAATTTCTTCGACATGATGTAGTTTTCAAACAATGAGTTCTTGGACATAATTGGATACGGACATAATTTCTTCTGTTACATCCAATCCAGTCACTTCATCAGTAGTTACACAAGCCTTTGCACCTTTACAGGAGGATCATCACGGGGAAGATGACAATTAACAAACCGAAAGGTCCTCCATTGTTTCAGTAAGTCTTTGTGAAGACCAATTAACAACTGAATGGGAAAGTAGCATCCATTATTCTCCAACCACAAAAGACCAGACTTTACAAACAAAATGGGGGAACTTATGAATATCTTGTCATGGCATGGCTGATTAACTCAATGGTGCGACAAATCAAGTATGGATTGCTTCTTTCATACGAATGAAAGTGGATGCCATGCTAACAAGGATAAACATTATGTCTCGGAAAATAATAAAAGAATCTTCGATATAAAATAAAGTGAAGGATATTATATAAAAATATATAGATATTAGAATATTAAGAGCAGTGCACTTTACCAAGAGTTGGATAAGCACTGAAGTTTGGTTGAGAAAATTTCCAACAGCATGATGTATAAGAGACACTAAGAGAAGGTGTGCTTATACGGGTGCAATTGGACATATTTTGGTTTTAAGAAAAAAATGTTGGATAAAGAAGAGTTAGTGGAAGAATAATGATTTTAGTAATATATACCGATGTGATATATGTTATAGCAAAATAGTAATGATTCGTAGTTATAATATGTTAGTACATTAATACTAAATGTATAGAGAAATGAGTAGCAATGATTGATTTTTTAATTAAAATTTGTATTGGAAAATTTGAGGAGAAATAAAAAAGTGAGGTGAATGAATAGTGTATTTCTTGGTTGGAGAATGAGGGGGATTTTTTGGCATTGAATTGCTACAAAAATATCTCAATGGAAAAAGAGGTGAAATTTGGGGACAAAAAATTGGGTAGATGAAATAATTATTTTTGAGTTAGTGAAAGATATGAGATTAAATGTAATGATTGAAATTGACGTGATGTAAAAATAGTAAAATAGTGATTGCAAATGATTGGTAGTTAAGAATATGTGAGTGGATAAATAGTGAAATTTGTTGGCAAATGTGCAATATGATTGATCTATTTAATTATATTGATAAGAAAAAAACATAAGAACAAATGAACAGTTTGTTTTTTTTTAAGAAAAAAAAAATATTCAATCATAGTTCCATTAAAAAGAATTTCATGCAAGACGAAATTGAAAATAACTTATATCCAATCGCCTTTAGTGCTCCTATCCGGACCCAAGAAGGAACTCAACGAAGTTTGAAGATGTATTCTAGACCAAAGACTTTTACTGAAGAGATGCATGAAGGAAAATGACTTGAGAGTTACGATTCAGGATGAAAAGGATACAAACAGATGTGGGAGCAATTAACCAAAGTTGCACTTGTCATATTATACAATGCTAACAAAAAGAAACCCAATGAGCATCCGGCATAGTATATTTAAAGGTAAAATGCTTATGGTACGCCAGTTAGAAAAGCAAACAAAAAAAAAAAAAAAAAAAAA